AAGTCCTGGAGCAAATTCCATCTAGCACTGGGTTGTTTTACAACTCGGAAGTAAGCTAATTTCTTGAAGCTTTTAAACCATAAAGTCCTATACACATAAAAGAGTCAAACATGATAAATAGTTACAAAAGCAACCAAGCATGAAAACACTCAAGATCTAGAATACTGTCAACAGCCTCAATATTACTTCCTGGAGGTAAACACTGTTATGTATAGAATTATTCCTTTTTCAAAAAATGCATTATGCATATAGGTAGTGGTGGTTATGGTTATGTACCCTCCTGTTGGAACTGACTCATACTGACCCTCCAGAGGGTTTTCAGAGGCTGTAAACCGCATGGGAGATTGTCCTTCCTTTTTGCTTAGAGCAGCTGGTGGATTCAAACTGTGTGCCTTATGTCTATAGGTCTACATCTCTAAATGATGCCATCTTTCCTGATTTTTTTAAACTTGATACTTTAGGAATTATTCTGTATACATTCTCAACAGTATTTCCTTTGCTTATATAATGTTTTTAAGACAAATCCACATTGATTTGTGAAGTAGCTATTTTTTTTCACTGTATAGGATTCTATTGCATGAATTAATAATTTATTCATTTGGGGAGCTCTGGTGGCCTAATGGCAAGAAGCTGCAACTACAATCCCAGAGGTGCATGGTTCCAATCCACCAGATGCTCTGCCGGGGAAGGAGGGGCAATCTCCTCCTGTACCAGTCAGATCTGATTTGATGGTACACGCACACAAAAATAAAAAAAAAATAATAATAAAAAATTTATTCATTTTACTGTTGAGATACATTCAGCTTAAAGCTATTATAAATAATGCATTCATGACTTTCTTCTATCTGTTGCACCTACGGACTTCTCTAAGGTATGTATTAACCAGGATGGGGTTACTGTTGGACTAGATAATACCTAATTGCTTTCTAAAATGATTGTTTCAGTTTATACTCCTATTTATAATGGGTAAGAACCCCCTACTGCCCTACATCTTTGACAGCATCGGATGGTAAAGTGGCATCTCATTGTGGTTTTATCATGCATGCCCTAAAGACAAATGCTGTTAGCACTCTTCCATTTGCTAGTCAGTCACGTGGATGCATTTTCTCTCTCGGGAAATTTTTACTTTTGATAATGAATATTTAAAGTTATACTCTGATGAGAAGATGAAAAAAGGGCATTTCCATTGCTAACAAGAGTATAAACTTGTTATTTAGTAATCCATCAACCAAGCTGCAAATGGGTAAAATATAACTTAAAAAAGAAACTCAAGAGTTCCTTCGTTTGTAGCAGCACAAGTTTTAAAATAACAATTTCTCAATAGAAAACTAGTTAAAAATAATTTTAAAAAAATCAAAGAAAACTAGTTCAGTATCTATACATTGCCCTCAGGAACCCTGGTGGCACAGTGGTTAAGTGTTTGGCTGTTAACCAAAACGTGAAACCTATCGGGAGAAAGATGCAGCAATTGCTTTAGTAAAGCTTAAAAAAAAATAATAATCCTCAAATCTACTATCAAATCATAGTGACCATCTATTATGTTTCCAAGGCTGTAAATTCCAAGAGGAGGGAGACTTGTCATCTTTCTCCTATAGAGGGTTTGGTGGATTTGAGCCTTTGGAGATGTGTAGACTGTGCTTTAGCAGTGCAACTTTACACAAGACAGTATCACCAGAATTCCTTTCAGTAAAGCTTCCAGCCTTGAAATCCCTCTGAGGCAGTTCCGTTCTGTCCCACAGGGTCATTATGAGTCATAATCAACTTGAGGGCCACGGGTTTGATTTTTTTGCGGAGAGAGAAAATTCCCAAGGGACTTGGTGGTAGACTCATTAACCAAAAGGTTGGTGCTTTAAGGGAGACAGAGATGGCACTTTGCTTTCAGAAAGAGCGCAGCCTTTTGTAACCAAAATCAGGGAGCTCTGCTGGCTTAGTGGTAAGTAGTTGTGCTGCTAACCCAAAGGCAAATCCATCAGCTGCTCCTTGGGGGAAAAGGACAGGCAGTCTCACCCAATGTGATTTACAGCCTCTGAAAACAGCTAGAGACTTGACAGTCCACAACACCAACAGCATAACCAGAAAAACCAAACACACTGCCATGTAGTCAAATCAGCTATGACTCACCGTCACCACACACTACTGGAGTTCCCAAGGCTGTAAATCTTGAGACTTCTAGTTTAGCAACAGGACACTAACCTGAGCTCCTACGGGGCAAAATTCTCCTGTCCTGTAAGGTCACGAGGAGTTGGAATCAACTCAACATGGGTCTCTTTTGATTTACACAACCAGTAAATCTTAGATTATCTTCTAAAGGAGAAACAGGAGTACAGTAAGAGGTTTCCTGTGAGGAAGAGAACTGAGAGTGTGGATGCTAAAGCTTTCCAACCTTTATCTTTCTGCACACTTGCAACTCTTTCTATTTCAACAGGTTCTATGGTGACATCTTCAACTTCCCAATGCCACACACCCAGGTCTTCTTCCCCAAAAGGGCACGACTGTAACTGCTGCTTCCAGAGACATCAAATGCACGCACTCCTTCCTCGCTTAAAACAAGTAGTTTAGGCTACAAGAGTGAAGTGAATAAACAACGCCTGAAACTTACTCATCATCCTCTTCCTCTCGCTTGTGTTTCTTTTTACAGTGAAGCAAAACACTGTTGGAAACAAACAAAAATCAGTTAAAACTGAGAAATGTTTGCTGTACCGTCCAGCATCCATCCGTCCCCGCCCGCTCCATTCATCCCGCCCGCCCTGCACGCACCAGTGTCCCTTCCCTGGCCGAGCGGGATGGAGGCAGGTCACAGGGCCAGACGGGGACTGGTGGGCCCGATATGGGCACACGGAAAGCTCCGATGCTGCAAAGTCAATTTGGCGGGATGGAGCCCATTCGGGGCAGGCACCGTATTTAAGCATTTTTAAGCCCTCGCTTGTACTCAGAAGAAAGGCAGACCGCTCTGCTCCCATTCTGCGGAGGAGAAAATCGCGCCCCGGAGGCACTGAACAAAGTGCGGAGCATGGGACGCTCCCGGGTCCGATCGCCCGGCCCGGGCAATCATCAACCGCAGCCTCTCGGGCTGGGCGATCTCGGGGGTCCTACAGTTAACGGCTCCGGGGCTTAGTGTCCCTGTCTGTAAACTGGGGGGAAGAAGGGTCCCCCGAGGTTTAACGAGCCCGAGCGCGTCTCCCGCCCGCCTGCTCACCGTCCGCGCGCCGCGCTTCTGCCGGGGCTGCTCGGGGCAGCGCGGGGGCCCGGCCGCGGGGCCAGCTCGGCGCCATCCGCGCCCGGCGGGAAGGCCCGGCCGGGAAAGGCAGACGGCGGCTGCAGGAAGTCCGAGGCGCTGCTCAGGGGCAGTCCGCAGAAGGGCCGGCCGAGGGCAGCCATGGCGCGGCGGGACGAGGACGCTGCTTCCGTGGTGCCTCCCGCCCGCCCGCGTCCCCAGGCCCGATAGCTGCTGCCACCGCGACGGCCGACAAGCGACTGACGAGAAGCGCCTGCTCCCGAGCCCGCTTCGGACCCCACGTCACGCCTTCTAGAACCCTCCACCCCGGGCCGCCCCGAGGCACGCCGGGATTTGTTGTGTGTGGAGCGGCCCTACCGCAAGGGCTGCCAGGAGTTGTAGTTTGTCGGACTACAGGAAAGATGGCTGCCGCCCTCCCCACCCCCAGCCCCCACCCCCGAACTTAAGGGTGGCATTAGGGTCATCAGGGCATAGACGTAAGACATGGCCTGTTGGCATATTAATATTAAAAGTGCTTTCTTCAAGTCTTCACTCAAAATAATGAGTTGTGTGTTAATGTTAGGTGTCGTTGATTCAGTGACCCTATGAACAAACAGAACCTTCCCCAATCTTGTGTCATTCTCATAATTTCCCACGTCTGAGCACATTGTTACGGTCACTGTCAATACATCTTTTTTTTTTTTTAGATGTACAATACATCTTTTTGACAAAACAACTATGAGATATCATCTTAGCCCAGCAAGAATAGCAAATGCTGGCAAGGTTGTGGAGAAACTGGAACCCTTATTCACTGCTGGTGGGAGTGTAAAAGGGTGCAACCACTGTGGAAGGCACTATGGCACTTTCTCAAAAAGTTGCAAATAGAAAATACCATTTATGCACACCCATGTTTATCTTGGCTTTGTTCACAATAGCATAGAGTTGGAAACAACCCAAGTGCCCATCAACAAATGAATGGTAGAGAAGCTGTTGTATATTCTTACCATGCAGTATTAGGCTGCATTGAAAAACAAGGAACTCATGAAATACTATTCAAAATGGGTGACCCTGGAGGACATTATGCTGAGTGAAAAATCTCAGTCACAAAAGGACAAATACTGCGTACTGCCACTGTTGTAAAACGGGACTGACCTAGGGGTTGGCGGGGGGGAGACTGAGAAAGATGGTTTAAATTACTTATGCATTGAAACAGATGAGAGAGATAACTGTTTAAAAGGTATATATGATTAGCTATTATTGTCATGACATGAGTCCAGAACAAAGGCTGCATAGTGGAGTGGACTTGAGGGGAGGGACTATATAACAATGAAATAATTTTTCTTTTAATTTTCAAAGAGAAGAACAAACTGGAGGGGAGGGATGGGCAGGGAGAAAAGTGCAACAATGAATGGATGGAAATCCAAAATCTTTGTAAATTTTAATTAAAATTAATAACAATAATAATAATAAAGACAACTAAAAAAAAAAAAAAAAGAAAATACCATTTGACCCAGCAATTCTACTACTGGGAATACACCCTAAAGAAACCAGAACTGCCACCCAAGCAGATCTATGTCCACCCATGTTTATTGCTGTTTTGTTCACAATAGCAAAGAGTTGGAAACAACCCAAGTGCCCATCAGCAAATGAATGTATAGAGAAGCTGTGGTATATCCACCACACAATGGAATATTATGCAGCACTGAAAAACAAAGAATTCATGAAATATTATACAAAATGGGTGACCATGGAGGACATTATGCTGAGTGAAATATCTCAGTCACAAAAGACAAATAATAGGAAGCTCTGGTGGCCTAGTGGCAAGAAGCTGCATTGCAACCTCAGAGGTATGTGGTTCAAATCCACCAGATGCTCTGCTGGAGAAGGAGGGGCAATCTCTTCTTGTACCAGAAAGATCTGATTTTACTGTACTCACACAAAAAATAACAAAATTGTTTAAAAAAATTTTAAAAAAGAACAGGACTGATATGGGGGTTGGGGAGAAACTAAGAAAAGAGAGGATAAATAATGTACACAGCATTGAAACAGACGAGGGAGAGAACTATATAAAAGGAATATATGGTTAGGTACTATTGGCATGATGAAGGTCCAGAATAAGAGCTGCACAGTAAAGTGGTCTGGTGGGGGAGAACTGTACAATGAAAGAACTTTTTTTCCCCAAGGAAAAAAGCGAACTGGGGGCGGGGGGTGGGGAGAAGAAGGAAGGAAAATGTGCAACAATGAACAAATATGGAAATCCAAGTTCTTTATAAACTTTCATTACCATCTCAATTAACAGACATTCCAATTAAAAAACCCCAAGCTTCTCTTTGAGGGTCCTCTTTCTCAACTCTGCACCTTTCCCAGCATGATGTCTTTTTTAAGGATTGTTTCCCTCTGATTACATGCCCAGAGTATGTGAAAGCAGAGCACACTGTCACTAAATGTTATTTACTTCTGTTTTAGTATAAACAAAAAGTCGTTAATTGTTGCAGACCGAGGGTCCCAAAGAATGGAATAATTTTATAATTATTAATAATGAGACAAACAGCCGGGAATGTGATAGAGCAGAGAGCATAAAACAGGGGGCCAGCAGTTCTCAGTTCTCGACTGAAGACCCCAAGCCAAGCTTCTCTGTATCTTTATTGAAAATACCAGGAAGTAAATCACAAAGAGAATTAAATGCAAATGAAGCCAAGCTCTTTCTATAGAAGACCTTCTGCTTGACTCAGGAAGGAGGGGTTCACAAATGCAAGAATTTGGTTTACCCTTAA